CCTGTCTCAGCTGTCTGCCCCGCCCCCTCCTGTCTGCCTGTCTCACCTGTCTGCCCCACACCCTCTCATCTGCCTGCTTCCTGTCTCACCTGTCTGCCCTGCCCCCTCCTGTCTGCCTGCTTCCTGTCTCACCTGTCTCCCCCGCTTGGCCTTCTCCCCATTCTGTCAGTCTGTCCTCTTAGGCCACCTCCCTGTGTCCACATTCTTCGTCCCGTCCATCTGTCCTTCTCTTCATGTCTCATTCCCTGTCCCCATCTGCCCAGATTGCTGTATGTCTGTCTAGCTTTTCAGCGTCTGTCATTTCTCTCTGTATGGTCAATTGGTGTATCTAATTTTTTGGGGTTCTTTCTACATAGCCAGGCTAATTATCTGATCTTTATTAATTATCTGGATTCAGAAGCCTCCCACCCAACATCACACGAGTTCTTTAATTCAAATGGCGAACGTTGAATTCAGAGCCTGGAACAGGAATTTAAACCAGAAAATCCCCCCTCCCCCCCCCCTTGCAGGACCATCTGTTCAGAAAATGTGCAGTTCGTCTTTTAGAAAACGCCATGTTCTCCATCAACTTTAGGCTCCTAGTTTTCTATTCCAGCCATTTTCATGCACAGTAAGGCTGATGGCAGAAACATCCCATCTGTGGGATTGTGACTGAACATCTGTACTCAGATCCCCACTAAAATGTTTTTATCCTCAGTTATTTGCAGGATAAATTAGTTCCCGATTAATCTAGCTCTCCTCTTTATTGTGAACTCTAGATCTCTGCCATTGAGCAGCTTTAACACAGATATAACGGAACGCCATCAAACGCCAGGCAAGCAGAAACGAGCACTGCCGAGCCTGGCAGCCTGGGCTTTAGCACATCATGTAGGGCCATATGTAGATGATCATGCAGAAGACTGATATTCATACTATTGATGCAGACGATTCACGAGGATTTATGTCAGTTCTTCTTAGTTATTTGGGGCCAATTTTGATGTGGAAGGATAATTTATTGTGATTTTTATGGTTTCCTCTGAACTGGAGGCGGGAATGAGGCTGTACTGGAAATGTTTTGATAGTCAAAGGGAAGATGCACAGAAATGGCAGCTGGAGGCCTTGATGCTCACGGCCAAACCACCAGAACATGCAGTGTTTGTGTGTGCTCCATGTTGTGCCTGGTGCTGTGTTCTAATCTACCTTTATCTCATCAGTTATACATAGGGGGATGTATTTTTTTCCATTTAATGATTTATATTGCAGGATGTTTTAATTTGATATTGATTTCATTTAGTTTGATTCTAATGTATGTAGTATATATATATATTTGAATCTCTGCTAATTGGATTTAATTGTATTTTGTTACCCCTTTGGTTTGTATTTAATTGTGTGAAGCATTATAAAATGAGTCTAAAGGATACTGCTGAAATGTATTTTGTAATTTTTATCAAGAAATAATTGCCACAGCTGTACCTCAGTTTAATTCGGTGACTTTAAAATTGGAGATAAAATGATTTTTCCTGTGCATGATGGGACCAAACAAAATGGAGCTTATTCTGGGAAACAGCCTGACTAGGAGAGATGACTCAGAGTCACATGCAATGATTAAGTGAGTTTGTTTTACTGAAAATTAAATTCTTTCTTATTGTCACCAAAGCTTTTACCTTCCTAAGGCCATCGATGCGCTTGCATCAGGTCCTAAGGAATTGGTGAGAGTTTGCAAGTGGTTGGCACACAGCCTTCCCCCAGATCTCTGAACCCTGTGTAGACTCTGACAGGGGATCTGCACCTCTGCCTCACTGTCTGTCTCCCAGTGGTCCACTGTGTGTCTCGCTCTACCTCTGCGTCTCTATTTTACTGCCCTGTCTTCCTGTCTATTTATTTATTTGTCTGCCTGTCTGTGTGTCTCTGTCTGTCTGTCTGTCTTCTCCTCTGTAGCTGCGACTCTGTGACACACGCGGAGATGTGTGTTTTTTCCTCCCGGTTGTTTTAGATGTGGTGTTCCGACTGGACGACGGCTGCCTGCCTGCCCACAAGCCCCTGCTGATCTCCAGCTGTGATTGGATGGCGGCCATGTTCCGCGGGTCCTTCAAGGAGAGCTACGTTCAGGAGGTGGGTCGGGGGCGCTAGAGGGGGCGAGGTCTGTGAGACCCCGAGGTTCAGGGCTCATTAGGAGCGAAGAGAGTGCAGAGACAATCTTCTCTCTTGCCAGGGCTTTGCACTTCTGGGAGAGACACAGCACTGCTCCTTTCATTATTGTGTGCAGCCCAGTGGGTGTGGGAGCGTCCGGAGTTTCCCATCTATCCTTTTTCAAACCGCTTCAGGGCTGGGCGGTAGCTGGAACCTATCCTGGCAGCATTAGGTACGAAGTGGGGTACACAGTGGACGGGACGCTAGTCCATCGCAGGACAGACCCAGACGTGCACGCACTCACGCCAGGGCCAGTTTTCCCAGAACCCAGTTAACCTTCCAGTATGTCTTTGGACTGTGGGAGGAAACAGGAGCACCCGGAGGAAACCCATGAGAACACAGGGCACACACGCAAACTCCACGCAGGTAGCATCCTCGGTCTCAAATTGAACCCCAGCGCTGTTCTTCCCTTGGGAGGGGTTTTCTTGAGTCAATATCTCACCAGACGCCAGGACGCTGCTGGGCCCCCGTCTCTCTCGCAGAGGGGTGCGGGGAGCAGGGCGGGACGTTTCTTCTGCCTCCTGCCGTTTATATCGTGGTAGACGAACCCAGGCCTTCAGGCCCGAGGCCAGCGAGGCCAAGGGGGGAGATGAGTCTCCCTGACTGCGTCACTCCACCGCCAGGAAGTTCCATCTGGGGACGGCGAGTGGTTGTTGTTGGAAAATTGTGTTTAATGCGCTCTCGCCCCTCTAGGGCAACAGGGGGAACTGGGTTGGGGACCTGGGCGCTCTCTGGGAGGCCTCTCCATGACGCACAGCAGGGCCTGGGCCTGTGGCAGGGGCAGGCCTGTGGAATAATCCTGTGTGCTTTTTGTGGGTTTAATTTTGGTTGCAACAGGAGGTTGACTCCCGAAAGTGTGCCGTGTGGGAATAATTAAAGCAGTGGTTGCTGGGGTTTGCCTGAACAAGAGCAGAGTGGAACATGGCTCGTGTAGGCTCCAGCGATAACAACAACAGCACTCACTTATAGCATCGCCTCAAAGGACGGGCCAGCACAGTGGGAGGAAAAAAGACATTGGTTTAAAAGAGAGGAAGTACCCATACAGATATAAAAGGATTGAGAACAGTCATGACACTCCACGGTCTTGGTGTGCACGAAGAGATTCCCCCATCTTCTTAGGTCCGCAGTCTGGTCTTGGCCGAGAGGCCTCAGCCGGACACAGAGCTTGATACGGGGACAGCTGAGAGCTTGTTAAGTTGGAAGTGAAGGAGTGTAGCCCTTCAGAGCTGGTTTTGGCTGATAATAGATTTAAGATGGCCTTTGCTGCACTGACACACACAAGGTGGTCATCAACAGTATCGATTCTGGGAATGGAAATAAGACTCCCATCTCGGGTTTTGTAAACTGCAGTCTATGGTGCACAGATCAAAGACCACGGACTTCCTGTTGCAGCTGTCGTTGCTGTATGTTTGCGTGCACTTTACATGCAGGGGACGAAGATGCATCTAGTGTGAGATCCACAATACACCTGCCTTGCAAGGAGGTCTGATCCTTCTGTTACACAGAAACCTGAGGTCTTGTAGAAAAGAGGTCCTGCAAGTCAAACATCTGTTTGCTTTTTAGCTTTAACAGCACTGTTTCTACAAGGCCCTTCAGCTCATAAAGCCTGAGGTGGATGAAATTGCTATGCACTACAAGCCCTCCCTTCCCTGTTGCAGTCAGGAGTCTGGCTATGATCACTGCTTTGACAGTGAGGCAGTGAAGATTGATTTTTTTTCCCCCTTCAGCCCCTTCTGTTGCAAATCTCAATGCATCCGGTCTCTTGCTTATCCCTATTAGCTGTACGTATTAGCCCAGAGCACAAAAACTAACAAAAAAAAAGTGTGAAAACCGACGAAGAGGTAATGAGACACAGGAGAGTCCTGTAGGCCTGGTGGGGGAGACGCAGTGCTGGCGTGCGGCTGCCAGTCAGTGGGATCTCATCCTTCACCCCCTGCTGGCGGTTGATGTTGGGGGCAGGGGACCCAGAATGGCAGAAGCAGAAACCCAGAGGTGTGAAAAGCGGAGACACCACAGCAACAAGAGAATGGCGTAAGCAGACAATTAGAAGGCCACGCGCAAATGATCGCATAATTCTTGTTTTAGAGCGTATGAACTGGCTTCAGGTCTGCACACGTCCAGAGAATCTAGGCGGCGCTTTACCTGTTTACACCCTTTCATGAGATCTGTGCTCAGCTGATTCCAGTTAATGTGATGCCACTGTTTGCACCATGCTGTTGTACAGTAGGTCCTTTGCTTGCTGTGCTCCAACACAAATTTAACTTGATCGTGTTTATTTCCAGGTGTGTTATAAAGTGCTTTGAGATGCCCGCTTTCAAAGGCATTGTGTGAAAGGTTCATTCGGCGGGTGTGTGTGTTGTGGGAGGTGCCCATACTGTATCTGCCTGCAGTCCGTGGGTGCGATCTGTATCCCTTTACATTCTGGTTGCGTGACCCTACATCTCATTACCCCAGTCAGAATGGCATTGCATGCAGTTTATGGTTACAGGGGAAAGAAACTGGACAGATCACTTTTCTAGGAAAGCAGGTCTGCAGGAGCGGGCCCGCCTGCTGTACTGTACTGCAGTGCGCCCCAGGCCCTGGCTGTGTTTGAGGAAGGGGAACTGGACCCAGGGGAAGAGATCTCTTTGTATATTGTTACAGTTCAGGGCAGCAACACTACACTCTCTCACTCAGGAAGCCATGAGGAAACAGGATGCTGGCAGCCTATATATTCTTACAGCCTGAACAGCTGACCAAAAAGATTAGATAAGATCGCTTTATTGGCCAAATACAATTTCTTGTATTAGAAATTTGAATTTTTGCATACCCCAACTCGCTCTCCCTGAGACACACAGACAGGGAGAGAAGCTGGGGGTCAGAGCGCAGGGTCGGCCATTTATACGGCACCACTGGAGCAGCTGGGGTTAAGGGCCTTGCTCAGGGGCCCAACGAAGTAGGATTCCTCTGCCGGCCAAGCGTGGTGCAGTTGTTCAGTTCTACAGTACTTGACTCGTGACTGGTTTGTAGTTACAGATTAACCGTTTTACATGTTTGTCTGCATTAGGCCTTGTGTGCTCAAGACCCGTTTGTGTCTGTTTTGTGTTTAGGGTCGAGCTGTGTCCTTGCTTACTGTGTCAAGGCTGCTCACGGGCATGATGTGTAGAAAACGCTGGAGAATCAATGCTGCAGATCACCAGTGTGTGCCAGCCGAACACCACTGGGTGTTTTTGGTGCAATGCGTTATACCTCAGTAAAGATCTCTAGCTCTGTGAAGTTGGCCCCCATACAGACAGAGCTCAGATCTCAACATCTCCAGAGGCATTCGCCTGAGTGTCATTGCCCAATCCGCCACCCTGCTTAAATACCAGTTTCTGTAGTTATGGTTCTGGATAATTTCATGCTCTGCCCCCTGTTAATAATTCCCAGGACTCCTGGCAGTGGAGTGGCATGACTTTGCGCAGGATGTGTGCTGTGCCCCATCCCAGAGGAGATTATTGATTCTTGTCAGAAGGCTCAGCTAGGGCTTCAGTATTACAAGGATGGTGCTCATTAGCTTCAGCTGCAGGTATTGTAATTCTGATACAGAAAAGCTGGCCTCAGCTAAATAGAAATATCACCACTTATTAACCTTTTTTGTGAAAGCCTTTCCAAAGGACTTTGCCTGACAACCCATCAACCCTCGTTGCTTGTTTATCTGGTTACCAACAGAGTTGTGAAATAAGGCAAGACACAGTGACGGGCTACTTCTTAGAGTGCTGCTCGGCAAAGTGTTTTCCAGAGACTCGGCTGCGTGCTGCTTTCTCCAGCTGTGCCCCAGTTTTGGAATTTTATACTGAAATGAGCCTCCCTGAGAGATCTCCGCACACGGGGCTGACGTGCGCGCAAGCCCTCCTTATGGCTGTGTGCATCGATGCCTTCTGAATTCCGTTGCAGTTTAATAAGCAGCTCTTAACTCCACTCCAGTGCAACTCCACACAGTGCGAAGACTGAAGAGAAAGCCAATGTTTTGGCATGGCTTTTGTCTGGTTTCGAACATCCCCACACTGTCCGAGAGAGCTGAAAGGAGGAACTGTCCTTCCGGGGATATTTGCTGTGTCCACACTCTATTGGCAGTACCTTGCTGCTTCTTTTGGCACTGTAAACGTGTCCGAACAAACAAGGGGAGGCCATCAAGTGGTTCTAGGATCTCTTCCAGCTGTTTCTTGAAGAACACAAGTCAACAGCACGGCTGGGTAGCTTGTTCCAGACTCCCGCAGCGTTTTTATTGGTAAAGAAATGCACTTGGCTTCCATTTGTGTCCTCCGGTCCTCTGTTTCACTGTTGATTCTGAACACATCCCCTGGGTTGAGTCGGTCAGTACCTTCGAGGATTGAGGCTCCTTCTTGTCCACCTGCACGGCGTGGACACTGGGGTATCTGCTGCTCTCTGGTGCGGGACTTTACTTAGGCAGGGGGTTTGTTTTTGTACATTGTTCAACCTCGTCCTGCATAAATAAAAAAACATTCTTTTCGAAAGCCTTCCGTCAGCTTCTTGTGTCTGCACAGTGCCGTGTTTGTGAGACCGGATAGCACAAGGCTGGCAGAAATCCCGAGTTTTGTCTGCAGCGTTGACAGGGACTATTTTTAATGAGGGCGCCTTCCTCTTTTCTTTTTTTGATTCCATAAAGCTGAAAGAGTTCAGCTCTCATGTTGATTAATCAAGCAGATCTGAAGAGCTGGCCTGAATTTTCCACTTCCCCTTAAAGCTGTACTGGTAGCTTAAAACAATCTTACTTTCTGACTGTACATTTGCAGGGTTGTTACTAAGTGACAAAAAAGTGACACTTTCACCCCCTGAATTTTCAGCCCTATGAGTATAGCATGTACTGTAAGTGTAGTAAGTATTATAACACTACAAGTATTCCTAAACGTGATCTGTATCAGCACTTGGATAAAGGCATTCAAGTGTTTTACTGAGTTATGCTATCTAATTTCATCATGAATTTACAGCCAATACTTGATAAATTGTTGTTTTTGAATTGTTGTGCATCCTGTCCCATCTGCTGGGCTTCACTGCTGCCATGCTCATGTTGACAAATCCCTCCAGCAAATGCAGCGTCTGGAAGATTTGTTCCCGGAAGTGTTACAAAGGAATAACGCAGGGGTGACACCAATGTCGCACTTCGTGTTTTGTGTGTCCCCCGGACACGTCCTGGGAGTCAGGAACCACCTTCTCCTCAGCAGCGCTTCTCACTGGGGGAGCTCCCAGGCACAGGAAACACAACTGGTCAGAAACCAGCAGAACACCACAGGGGAGGAGACGAGATGGCACGGGCTGACACTGGTCAGCCTGCAGCAGCGTCTCAGTCGAAGGGGATCACAGTTGCTCTTGAGCAACACGGGTCTTCTGGTTTTCTGGCTGTTGTGTATGCTGGGGTGTGGTTTGGTCCACTTTGTGTGGTGGCAGTGTGGTTTCCTGTGTGATGTAAAGAAACACTTTTTATTCCTTTAGAACTTTTCTGTTACATTTCGCAGGTACAGTTCACAGCTGCTAGCTAAACTAATTTGCTTCCCCTAGGGCTCTGTAGATTATATTGATTACTTTTTTTATTTTTTTAAGTTAATTTCTGTTTGACTGATTAGTTAAAGTGGCTAACAGAAGCAGCAGCATAAATGCCAGCAGAGAACCTGTGATGTAATATTTAGGATCAAATTCATACTCTTTTCTGCATTTCTACGTTTGCTGCTCTGTTTGAGCAAGGAAAAACAGCCTCGCCGCATTGCAAAGTCTGAACAGAAATGCCCTGCGTTAATACATCTGTGGTGAGATGCCGAGCTCTGACAAGCAGTGTGCTCTGGCGGTGATCTGCTGCAGTGGGTTAGCTGTCAGGAAGCGTAGCTGAGGGGTCACAGCCAGGTCACCGTCTCTTTGAAGCTGCTTGTTTAGGAGACCTGTGCACTCCAGCTCGTGGAACCTGCTGCATACTCCTTCAAGCTCACATTTGGTCTCCAAGCTGAGCAAAGGTCCGATTGCATGGCCTTCAGACCGACTTCTGTGGTGGACAGTCCGCCTTTCCACGTATACTGTAGGTGTACGGTGTTGGGAAAAGGTCAATACAAATTGGAAGTGTTATTTGTTAGATGAGGTGAGGTTTATCTACTGGTAGGACTTGGTGAGGACTAGGTGAAGATCAGTTGTCTAAATACAGCAAACCGTAACATCTTTAAGGGGTTTACTGCCTTTTCCACTACACTGGAGGTAGAAGACTGCTGTCTGGTTCTGACCAGATAGAAAGCCCGGTGCGATTCTGGGTTGCAGCATTTTCTCAAATCCTTAAATCCGGTTGGTTGTCACTATACAGGTGTCGCCTACCACACTAGCTTTTTGAGAGGGTAGTGAAGTTGTTGGATTGCATTGTTACTAAGGCCATTTGATATTTTCTCCTGTCTTCTATACACACTCCATACTCAGCACTGGTAAAACAAAGAAGTGGGAAGGAGACCTTGTGTGTAGATGAGCTCAAAATGCCAGGGCACAGGATTGCAGCTGATTTCCAGCCGAGAAACAGGATGTATTTCGTTTGGCTAAAATCACTCCATGCTGGATGGGTGCTGTGTACAGTATGGTGTTTGGTTAGTCCTTGACAGATATATGGTATGCTGAATTGAATCTCACAGTTTTTTTTTTCTTTTTACTGTCTGTCATTCATTCACTGAAAAACCAGGATGAATTCCTGATGTTCAGAAGGATTCAGACACTTACTCAAATAGTCGGGCTATTGTTAAACACCGAAAGAGGCTGCTGTGGTTCAGCTCCAGTAGGAGCAAGGGTAAAGGATTTTTTTTTTTTATATCGAAGGGATCTTGTTATGGGCTGAGAAAGCAGACGGAGAGGGCATGTGTCAGTTCTCGCTGTGTTTACAGCACAGACACCTGCACCGTGCATGCGATGGAGTTAAAAATAGAGCCACAACAGCACCGTTCAGCAAGGGATGTTGCAGCCTTGACTTGCTCTGACATCACCAGACTCCTGTTGCTATAGCAACGCAGCCTACCTGAGCGCGCGCTGTGCGAGAGAAGAGCGACGAGCTCGCAGGGCTGCCGTCTCTCGGACCACCCTCCCGCAGGTTGACCACTTCCTGGGACGCTCGCAATAGCCCTGATCTCCATTTGGCGTTTAGCCACAGGCAGTTAATGCAATCTGCTAACCTGGCGTTCTCTCTGCTTGTGTTCCTTTAAGATCCTGCGACCACAGTGATCAAGGCAGTAGTAGCTAAGTGATTCTAGGATCTCTTCCTGCTGATTGGCGAAGGAAACAAGAGCATCAGCTTCAGCAGCGTGGCTCTATGGCTTGTTCCGGCCTCTCACAGCCCTTTGTGTAAAGTGCCTCCTGCTCCTGGCTCAGGCAGCGTGCGTGTCTGGGTGTGACGGGGGGATGGCAGTGTTCATCTCACCTCAGGCTCTGCATTATTTAATGGGGCTGACGCTGGCTTTAAGAGCTGGCATCTACTTTATTTTTCCCCATCCTGACCTTTCTGAAGTAATTAAGGGCTGTAACAAAGTTGACATTCTGCTAATTGGCACTGAGGGCTCAGACAGGGTGAGGACACCCATGGAGCTTCTGTACCCCCACTTAGGGAGTTCTGTCCCCCAGGGCACAGTGACCTTTTCTGTGGGCCGATCCACACAGATTACTGTGGGGGGGGGTGTGTGGATCGTATCGTAACTAATACATTTGGAAGGTGGCATTTATTTGGTGGCGTTTCTTTTATTCGAAGACTGAAAGTTCCTAAAACTGTTGTCTAAGCCAGTTTTGCTCACCACAACCCAGCGCCTCCGTCTGCTTCTCGTTCAAAACTGTAATGGGACGAAGGCGTCAGAAGTTGTCGGGGCAGCAAGGAGACATTGCATGATGACCGCTCGCTGTGGGACAAGAGGGGCCCGGCTATCGGGTTGCTGTCCACAAGCGTGTCTTCCAGCTCCCTCGGTGACAGCTGGGAGCAGGGGGTATCGGGAGGGCTGCAGGTGTGGGGTATAGGGTGTGGGTGCGGGGTGTTGAGGAGGGAGAGCAGGGGTCAGAGCCTGTTTTGAGGCCTGTAAGTGGAGAAAGGGGGATGGGAGGGAGTGTGCATCCCCAGCACTTTCTCTTCCCAGCAGTCCTTCTCATCCCTACACCATCGGTTTAGGTCTTTAGACCATTCAGGGGAAGTACGCCATTGTTTGCATTTTTCAGTGTTTATCCAGAGCTCAGAAAGGTCTCCAGCCAGACGTCACGGTCTTTCAGGTGTCGACAGGGAGGCTCAGCATGCTGGAACGGGGACCGTAGTGAGGGCTTTGAGGGACGAAGTTGCTGGCCTGGCCATCAGTATCTTTGTTCCTGCAGCTGGGCTTTTATCTGCACGGGATAAAAGACCCCACAGTGAGACTGCCCTTTACAGAGGAGCTGACTGCTCTCTGCGTCCGGCAGAAGAGCACTTCACCTGTCTCTGCTTTTCCTGTGACATCAGTTCTTGCTCTCCGTATCAAAGTGTGTTGTGTTCTGCTGTCTCTGTGCTGCTGGTTCAGCTCTAATTTTCCACCGTTATTTCTCTCAGGACCAGGCATGGTTTGTTTGTTGTTTCTACATCAGTCTTGTTTTGGGTGAAATTGTGTGCTACAGAAATATGTGCAGTTGGACACCCAAGGAGTGACTTTAAATCAACAGTGCTTCAGTAGCCCGTTTGAAGTATAGGTATGAAGGAAAGAGCAAATCATTAAAGCTTGACAGCAGTTTTGCTGCAGAGTGAAGTGAATCTCTAGGTGAGCCCTCATTACCCTAGTGCTTACTCATAGGTCCTGCACAGCTGGGTCTACAGGCCATAAAGATCACCAACCACAGACACCTGATGGAAAGGGTTCTATTGTTCAATTAACCAAATCATTGTTCATTCCGGTAATTAAGAGCTTAGGTTGGATTCAAAGCCAGGTGATGCCACAGCCCTTGAAGTGTGGAGATCAGCACCTCCTCTGCAGACCAAAAGCCCAGAAAGCACTCTTCACACGGACATGAGGTTGGGGTCAGGATTCTCAACGCTGCAAGAGGCATGAATGTACTAGCCTGTGCAGGCCGATTTTCTGGGATGTTTCCGGGAAATGCAGTTGGGAAAGTTTTTCCAGGTCAGTAAGCTTGCAAACAGCCAGATGAGCCGTTTGGAGCGCCTGGTCTCAGAGCCAGCTTGTCCCCAGCCTTCTGCACGGCAGCCCTGGTGCGTTTCTGTGCAGCTCAGCTGCCAGGCGACGGGC